TCGAAGAGACTGTGTTCAGGGTGAGACGAGTCAGCTATTATCCGACCTGCACGCCTCAATGTCCTAGAGGTGTACAGATCCTGAATGGAGGGGAGTTTGCAGCCAATGACCTTCTCTGCAGAGCACACGACACGCTACAGCCTCTTCTTGTCCCTGGAGGTAGCTCCAGCGTACCACACGGTGATGGAGGAGGTGAGGATGGACTCGATGATAGCGGTGTAGAATTGCCTCATTGACTGTGGTGATAGGTTGAATTTCTTCAACTGCCTCAGGAAGTACATCCTCTGCTGGGCCTTTTTTCCGATGGTGGTGATGGTGGGGTCCCATTTGAGGTCCTGGGTGATGGTGGTGCCCAGGAAGCGACATGAGTCCACCATCGTGATGGGAGTGTCAGACAGGTTTAAGGGGGGGATGGGGTGTGTGTGTTTCCTAAAGTCCACAACAACCTCCGCTGTCTTCTGGGTGTTTAGCATCAGGTTGTTGTGGCTGCACCAGGACACCAGCCGTTCAGCCTCCATTCTGCAAGCGGACTCATCCCCATCAGAGATGAGTCCGATGATGGTGGTGTTGCCGTTTTCTTGGTCCAAATGTCATTTTTTGTCCGTGACTTCATATGGTATTTTTGTGGGGGGGACTTTAGTAGTTTGTCCTAAAGTTGAAGTGGCTGCAGCCGGCTGTTTGTCCTCTGACATATTTGAGCCATGAACCTCTCACACCCTTTGCCCTTTTGATCCTTTTGACCTTAAACAGGTCGTTCATACTGGAAAAAATACAGAAACTAGAATTATTACACCTGGATGTGTTGTCACCTTAAATGTGAATTCACAGCTAAAACTGCTGTGGGGTTTCTTGCAGTTTACTATGTGCAAGATAATAAAACTCCTGTTTAAAAGCTTGCACTTTATTGCATTTGAACTGGGCTGCATGCCAGTAAATATGCAAAGAGCAGTTTCTATTTTCAGTTTGGAAGGGAACATTTGTGACTGAAGCACAGCCCTCTTCCCTGAGTAGAGTCTCAGTGCTGCAGACCAGAAATATGGTTCATTTATGAAACGGGCTCAAAGTGGAGGAGACAGTGAGAAAAGAAAGTGTGTGCAGAGCAGCAGAAAGCGCATGCAGTCAGGGTCACATGGTCTGGGCACTGAGCTTGTTGATGAGCTCATTACCGCATGCAGGGACCCTGGGCACAATGTGCATAGGCCAGACAATGCCCGCACTGCCCGCTCACCACAGCCATGGAATACACCTCATCAACACACAACACTATAATGGAGCAGGCGGAGGGAGACTAGGGGTCTTAGCACACCTCTGTTGTTGCTTGGCTTCCTGGGGCTGGAAGCTAGGAGGGAGATCTGGCCGTCTGGTTGGGGTCTGGGGTGGTGGGTTGCTGTGCTCAGCGTTGGGCGGGGGAGCCTGCTCATCAGCACCCCAGCAGAAAGGGTCAAACTCTGGTTACCAGTGATGGTTGTACCCAATGTGCAGCAGTACCGGGACCAGAGTGAATAGGGTGTGTATGGGGAGCATGAGTGGGTGTCCGGCGTGCATTTTTGTAAGTCTTGGGTTGTATGTAAATGTGTGAGCATGAGGGAGGGAGTGTGTGACTGTGTTTGTGTATGACTGTGTATGTCAGGTGGGGCCTTTGACTCCTCCCCTCTCCTGGAACTTTTTTTGATGATATAGATCTTCGTCCCCCCTCCCCCACCACACCTGGTGTGAGGGGTTGTGCCTGGGTCTGCCTGAGTGTTCATGGCAACCGGGTCAGGGGGTTTAAGATTTTGGCATCTGCCTGATAGATCCCGGTGGCTGCCTGGTGGGGTCTGGGTCCTTGGGCTCTGCTGGGTCCCCTGCGGGAGTGGTCGCCCCTGGGTCCCGGTGTCGCTGGGTCCCGGGCTCGGCCGGCTAGGGGGTGGGAGGCTGCGGGCGGGCCTGAGGGCTTGCCGCTGATGTCTCCCGGGACTCTGCCGGCTGCTGGTTGTGGCCCCCCGGGACGATCCTCTGTGCCTCTCGAGGGGGGCGGGGCCATTCTGGTTGTGTCGCGTGCCCGTCCCATTTACCGGTTCCTTTAAAACCCAGTTCCGTTAGAACTTATGAGACGGTGCATCCATCAGGGTTCGGGGGTGTATCGACGAGTATAATCGTACCAGACCCGGGTTTGGACTATCTAATTAGAATCTTGTCTTTTATTTTAAAGGTGAAATGACTTGCACGAATAGCCAGCCCCAGAGTGCTACACTTCTTTTAAACTCGTTACCTTTTGGTTAAGATACTAGAGAGAAGTCTGGAGGCAAGCCAAGCCTCTCAGCAATTGTTTGGGCTACCCGGAATTAATTGCGCCTCTAACAGCTTATGTGGGAGGTTGGTAACTATAAAATGATTTATGCTAGTTGATCAGGCTATCATAAGTTTATCAATTTATTTATTAATCCAACCTTCCAGCTGATTAGAGACTTTTTCAACCTGCAATCAGAGCCAAAATAACCTCGAATATTTTGCTTTTATCACCCTTAAGACAACTCGTTACTCGCAAGGAGGGAGAAGTTAAAACTTCCCTTATCTTAAGGTTTCTTTATATTATTCTGTTATAAACTGTAAAGTAAGTCCTGATAATTCAGAGACCGATCTTCGACATGCTTACCTCTGCGCAATTTATGGCCAGGGCTCCATACGTGAAGCTTTAGAGAAAACCTGAAAGAATCAGGATTATGTTTCTTTTTCAAAAAAGGTTTATTACAAAATCAAAATACAAAAATGGGTAGATGGAAAAACAACCGCTATCCCCCACGGAGGAATTAGTTCAAAATGATTAAATAAGAGTCAGTTTACACCAGCTCTTGTCTTCTCAGAATCTCCCCAAGAACTCTTTCTAGTCTCTCTCTCCGTCATCCCCAATCCAGATTTGGACGGGGGATGACCCCTCCCCATCTGCTCTCTTCTCTGTCCTCTGCCCCAACTGCTGTCGAATCTCTCAATCTCCATCTGCTGTTCAGAGCTGTTCTTATATACCCTTCCTGGACCAGCTTAAGGTCATGGGGTCATTTACCAGATACACACTTTGTAGCTCAACACAAAACATTTGGTGTCATTTTCCTTCTTAACACAGGTCATTGCATCATCTTTTGCAGCATTCTTTAGTTTCTCTCCAATGTTCCCGAGAGGGCTTCTGGATCTGATGGGCTTGTCTTCATTCTGTTCTCCTCCAATCCCATCTTTCCAAGCCAGGGGTGGGGCAAAGAGGTGGGGTCAGTCTCCTGACCCTTCGCCCAGTTCTGTCCTCTTGTCCCTGTGACCCTTGTGTGACCCTTGTTTCTGACCACAGTTTTTTTGACCTGCAGCCCAGCTCCTGTCGACTGGCTGATTTTGCTCGCACAAGCCAGTCCAGTATGGCTCACCTTTGGACCCCGTACTTGCCACTGTCTTTGGCATGTGGGACTCGCAACAGTTGCAGTCCCCTTGGGGTTCCTGTGTTCTGGGGCAGCGCCTGGATCTCTGGACTTGGAGCTCCCCCCGTCTCCTGTGCATCTTTGGGGGGCGGATCTGTGGCCCCTCACACACTCTATTGGATGCTCCTATTGATAAACCTTAAATAAACAAGTGTGTGTACACACACAGGTGCTCACATGGTGCTCTCAAAAGTATGGGCTTGGGCACGTTCAACACATGTCTTAAGGCTGTCGTTGCCACTAAATGCACTATGATTTATTATCGTGTGATTGTTCAGTTAAACAATGTTGATTTTATATTTCATCATCACGTTGACGCGGTGATAGCTTGCTCCTGTTGTATTGTTGTGTGTCCCATTTTTTCTGTTCTTTCTCTTTCTGCAGGTCTAGAAGCAGACGCTTGTTCATTATTGTTTATTTTTGTGGACCCCCCCCCCCCCACCCCCCACCCCCCCACCCCCCACCCTATGTCATTTCCTTTCTCTTTCACCTCTGTCTCCATGTCTGGTCACAATTACAAAGCATTCAAAAACAATAACAATAAAGTTTTAAGTATCAGGCGTGACATTAAAAGCAGACACTTTGATGCTCCACCTGAGAGTAAATCCGTAAGGCCGTCACCAGCATTCAGACATCAATTCTGTTTGCTTCACAGCCAGACAGGACACGGTAAAAAAAAATAAAATAAAATAAAAATAAAAAATAAAAGATTATACAGTTATTGAAAAGTTTGCAAAGATGAAATATCTGCATGTTTTTGTTTGTCTCCTGTGTGCGTCAACATGTTTCCCATTTCACCTGGGCGTCAGCTTGATCTTGGAGCTCTAATTGTCGAATCCGCACAGCTGTGTCGGCGTTGGTCTGGAGTTCTTATCGGCGAATTTGTAGTTCCAAGTTGAGTTTTCTCTCTTGGGCCCGCTCATTGGCTTCGAGCTGGAGTCGGGCCAGACGGATCTTTAGACGAAGTCCTCCCGAAGACTGAGGCGAAGGAGGGGGTGAAAAACGAGGAGCCATTCTCTTTTCCTCATCAGATCCAGCTGGAGCACCGGCATCACCCCTTAGTTTTTCTCCAGCACATGTTTAACCACAACCAGAGACTAATGCGATGGGCCCTGCTTCTCCAAGAGTTCCCCATCGAAATCCGCCACAAAGGTGGTGCAGGTAACATCCTTGCAGATGGGCGTTCACACGGATGTTTGGGTCTTGGAATCCCTTGAGGGTCTCCCTAGTAGGCTGTAGAGACTCCCCCTCTTTAGGGCGAGTCTGTTTGTTGTTTTCTGTAGTGTTGCGGCATGGAGGTTAGTGTTGTCTGGTTCTTCCGGACATCTCGGGAACACTCGGTAGTGCTGGGGATCAGCACCGCCTGATATTTTCTGTTTAATCGGCCCACCTCTAGGTCAGCATGAAGACTAGGGATGACTTAGTTAGCTCCCCGTTAGGTAGTTAGCGGGAGCCCTCATGTTGACCTGGATTCGGTTCTTAGTGTTGAAAAAAAAAGAGTAGAAATCAGTTTTGTATATACATGGTTTTTACTGTTTTCTCCTTTTGTTTTTTCTTAAGGAGGGGGCTGTTATGAATCCTGGGCTCCCCGCACCTTGAATGGTCCAGTCCTGCTCCCTCCATGCCATTCAGGACCTTGGACAGGTCCTCCGTCAGGCTGGCCTCCACCCCTGCCCGCCTTCGCTGTCCCCGCTGCAAATTATTAGCTAATGAGGACAGATGGTTCAAAAGACCGCAGCTTTATGTTCTCGGAGAGAGACTCACAGCGTAACACCCTGTCTTTCTCTCCTCGGCTTGGATCTTTGTGATATACGGTTTAGATTTGGTAACAATCGGTGAAGAACTTTGATGATCGTGATAGTTCCTTTTGTTTAACCATAGAGTAATTATTAGTCGTTTTCATTTAGTGATCCTGTTTTCTTCTGCCCTAGTGCTTGGATTTCAGTTTTTTTCAGCTTTAGAGCTCACTTTAAGTTTGTTAGTTGTAATAATATTTAGAATAGAGATAGCCGTCGAGATTTGTTTTAGTTAGTTAGTTCCGGCATTTTTGTTTGTTTGTTAGTACCGATATTCTCGTGTTTTCTTCCCTGAGACCGTTTGTCTCAGGTGTTTTGAGTTTTCTCCGTTGCTTTCGTTAGTTATTTCCGAGTATATTCTGCGTTTTGTTTTGTGTTTTCCAGTCAAGGACTGAGTGATTGTGTTCGCCCTTTGCTAATAAAAATACATTTTATT